CCATGTGTTTCCCAAGCCACCTGCTTACAACTCCTTCCTTCTGGAGTCCTATCCACCCTACAGCCTCCACTGGAGTTCTGAGTTCTTCAAGGATCTCCCTGCCACTTCCTCAGGAATAGAGTCTGACCCCTAGAGCAAGCCATAAGGTCACACCTCCCTGGTTCACCGTCTCAGAGCATCATTGCACACTCCTTTATTCCATTAAGATTGGCCAAATGACTGCATGTGCAGGCTTTGATCCAGGCTCTGAAGACAAAGCTTTGGATAGACAGAGCCCTCACTTTAGGAGCTGATGTTCCTGATGGGCAAAGGGACCAGAAGTGGTAGCAAGGACACAAATGACACATTCCACAAAGACAATTATGTGTTAGTGCTTTCAGCACAACTGGGACAGGACTGGGGCAGAGGGTAGAAGTGCTATTGTGGGTAAGTGGCCAGGGAGGGGACCATGAAGGTCTGGGAAGAGTGTGTTAGGTAGGGGGCTAGTGGGGTATAGGGCTGGTATGCTGAGAGACAGTGGGGAGGTCAGCAGCTAGAACTGAATTGGCAGGAGAGTGGGAGAAGCCAAGGTCTCCAAGGTCATCAGGATGTCAGGTCGGGGTAACAAGAGGACTTGGAATCAGGTTACATTCTATCCTAAGTGAGCTGGGGGACAGCCAGGACCTCAAAGAAGAGAACAGCATGGTTTGAGAGATTGTGGGGCGAATGGCAGTGGCTGACAGAGGGTCTTGTGGGGCTCTGGCATCTCACCAGGACAGGTGTCAAAATGTAGGTTTCATTGTCACTCAGGTGAGGCAAGACCAGAGGACCAGGAGGTGGCTGCCCTAGGAAAAGTAGCTTGTCACTCACAGTTCTACCACGGCACTGGGGCACCCCACACCATGCCACACAGGTCCATGGGAAAGCACAGGGTTGGGTGAGGGGCAGAGGGAGCAGCAGAAAGCAACCAGGAGCCTTGGTGATCATTTTTGTGGGACGGAATCAAGGCAGGGCTATCAGGCAAAACCAGCTGAGCACTGTCAAGTCAGAAAGTTTGTAGGGTTTCCCAGGAGCAGAGGTGGCCTGAGTTGTCTGCTGCATGCCCTGGGTGATGGGGGTGGTGATCAGAGGTTATAAGAGCCCATAAAGGAAGGAGACTCAGCTTTGCACCTGCTGCTTATGGTGTTTCTGTTTGGTTTCTCTAGGGATTAGCCAACCTGGGAGGGACAGTCCCTTCACGTTAAGTTCCTAACGTGCCACAGTATCACAACACACAATCAACAGCTTGATTGATAATGGAGCAGTGGTCAGGATTGCAGCTGAGCTAGTGGGCTCCCTAAGGTGGGAGAAGCAGGGGTGCACAAAAGTGCGGGGAAGGCATGGTCAGGTGGGATGGGATGCCAAAGTTGACCTGAAGGCAACAACCAAAAGTAGAGGCTCCCAGCACAGAAGGATAAAAGCAGGTGGGCAAGCGAGGTGGGTGCCAGGGTCAGGACAAGGGAGCAGGGCCTGGGTGGAGCTCAGCCATTTGGCTCCCACCTGCTGCTGGCTGAGATGGGCCATGGAGGAGGGGCCCTATACAGGAGGGTCCCTGGACAGGGGCCTGAATAGGAGGGGTGTGACCCAAATGCTTGCCCATGACATGTAGGCCGGAGAGGCCATCCCTCACCCCAAAGGGTACGCCAACCTGGGATTCAGGGCTGGGTTCTTGGCGTCACCAGCAAGACGCATGGCAGAGGCTGAGGATTGGCTAAGACCGGGTATAGAGAGGACATCTGGGCAAGAGGGCTGATACCTTGGTCACATGATACCCAACACTGCAGGTTCAGAAAGAAAAGGAGGTGCCACCTTGGGTGCTGGGGAGCAACCTGGAGAAGTTAGTGGAGCCATGTGAGAGAGTTTCAGACAGGAGTAGTCAGAAAAGCCTGCAGAGCCAAGAGGCAGAGTTAAGAAAGGCATCTGTAGATGGACACCTGCTACAGCCATCTGACAGGCTACACTAACTTTGAACCTCAGTTAAGCCAAATATCACCCACCCACCGAAGGAATTTCTTTTCATAAGCAGACCTACTATCAAACAACTGTGCCAAATGACTGCATTTTAAATTCCATGAGTGAATATATGAGAACATCTATTTTTCTCTCCTGTTAAATTCATACTTAATAGCTTTTATTTTGCCTCTTATGCCCACAAAGTCTGACATGTTTACCATCCTGGCCCTTTATGGAAAAACCTAGGCCATCTAGAGCCAGAGCAAGAAGGCGAAGGCACTACAGGACCCAAAGCAAATGTGCAGAGGCTTTCGTGGGGACCAGGACAGCACAAGAGCCTGGGGTCTCAGGATGAGCAGGTCAGAATGGGCTCTGGCAGGGTCTGAAGCATGCAGGATGGTCCTCATGAAGAAAGTGGGCCATAAGTTCCAGGCCAGTCCCTCCAAGTTGGTCTCTAAGGTAGACAGGGAGGTGATGCCTCGTGTGAAGCAGGGGAAGGGTGGAGGTCTTACCAGGAGAGTATCACTTTCCCCAGCCCCTCCCCCGTGGCTGTCATAGTTTTGTATCACTTTGGGTGATATCTGTCCTTTTTGATCAATATCTGTCTTCTGCACTAGGCTCCAGCTCCATGGTTGGGGAAGGAAAATCTGCTGTCCCTCCAACACCAGATCCTTGGTGAATGAGCAAGTGGATGCCACCCCCATCCACCTCAGTGCCTGGCCCAGTACCTGTGCAGAGCAGATGTTTAGAAAATATTTATTGAGAAAATGAAACGCTGGTTCTTTGTACAATTTCTAGCTAGGGTGTGTACCTCGGTGCCTTTTAGGCCCACAGGCAGGGCTGAGGCCAGAGGGTGGGGCAGTCCACTTCTACTGTGACTCAGGTCTCCAGAGATGCTGTCTTGAAGCCAGAGAGCAGTTGAGCCCACTGGCGAGCGGCCAAGGGCCAAGAGGTAGCTCTGCTGGCTGGATCTCAGTATAGCTGGCCTCTGGGTAGCACAGTTATGTACTTTGCCTCTGGTTTTCCCCACGAAGCCTGTCACCACCTAGACCCAGCCCAGGTGACTCCAGAACTGCTGCCCTTCCCTGAGGGCATGAGAAATGGGGCTGAGGAAGGGGGAGGAGTTCCCACACTCAGAATGCAACCAGGCTGCAGAGGATGGGCACCAGGTGCCAAGAGGGTACCATGAAGCACTGAGGTTGAAAACATCGACTTTGAAGTTAAAAGTAAAAAAATCTGAGTTGACATTCTGCTCCTTCTTCCTGGGGGACGAGCTGTGTGACTCCAGGCAGATATGCAGCCTCTCTTGACACTCTTGTTTATACTTGTCAACTATGACACCCACACGTGTACAGTAGACCTGTGAGTGCAGAAAGGACCAGTGGTGTACCTGAGGTTATGGGATGGCCATTCCAGGTCCTCTGTGGGAACTAGCAGATGAATCCAACTCATCTGGCTATAGACCCATGGCTCCCCTCACCTCCCATGCTGTCCTTCTTACAGGGCCAATTTTGGAAGCACAAATTAGACTATCTTTTTTTGGCGGCAAACAACTTAAGCTGGGGGGGTGGCACTGCTGCCCCGCCAGGGGCTCTCAGTGGTGGAATGCGGGCCCCTTTTACATTCTTTTCTGTGCTTCTGTACTATACCGGACACCCACTGGGCAGCCCAGAGTAGGTCCTACATGCTCAGCATGTCACAGTCACTGGCAAGTGGCGATAGGTACATTATTTCTCCTCCCCGGCCCATCTCCCTGTCTGTGGTGATCCCATGGGAGTCTCCCATCTCCATCCCCTGCTCACTCCTTCCCAAACAGGCTCCCCAGGGACAGCAGCCTGCAGCCTCAAAGACCCTAGGATTCCCCAGAGTTCTTCCTTCTCTGTCCAAGATGTGCCCAACAGCAAAGGAGGAGAGAGGGAAGCTCAGGTGGTGGACATTGTGGGAGGACCAGGACCCAGGCCAATGGGACAGGGCAGAGGTTATGTTGGTAAGGCTAGCCTGGGGCCATGAAGTGAATGGATGTCAGTAAGGTTGGAGTCAGTCTTGCAATGGCCAGCACCAGGGAGGTTAAGGCCCTAGCAGCTCTCTCAGGGACCAGAAAACATTCTAGTTTTGAAACTTTTACAAGTTGTTCCTTTTGAAGCATTACAACTCCACAACCACTGAACTTGGCTTCAGAGACTCAAAACTGCCCACATGACTGCAATGGGCCTTCTAGGGACTGACAAGAAAGCTTCATAAAAGTTGAAAAGCAAACAAAACTATAAGCACTCAAAAGGTACCTCTACCAGAGCTGAGAAACTTTCTTATCTTGGTTGCCTGTGAGTCTTAGCTCACTGGTAGAAACCAGGTGATCTTCTTGGGAACTCCTGTCCCACTAATTCCATCATGGGACAGGAAGACACGCTGTCTCAAACCTCTGCTATACAGCTGCTACTACCACTCTGATAGGGCCCCACAGATACAGCTTCAAGGGACCAGCCACTGGGCATCCTCTGTACCCCCTGCTCACCCAGCTAGCTCACTGTGTCAACCCCCTGTGGTTGGCTGGATGATGACCTCTGAAGATGTCCATGGTGTAAGTGCCAGAATATAAATATGTCCCCCTTAATGGGAAAAGGAATTTTGCAGATGGGATCTTGAGCTGTGGAGGTGACCCTAGACTATCCAGTAGGACCAATGTAGCACAGGCTCCTCATGAGAGGGAGGAGGGTAAGTTATAGAAGGCCGTGTGGCCACAGGCAGAGATGGCCAGAGCCAGAGAGAGGCTGAAGATGCTGTGCTAGGAAAATGAAGGAAGGAGCCATGAGCCTAGGCACAGGGCAGCATCTAGAAGGTAGGAAGGCCAGGTGGCAGATTCCCCTTGAGCCCCAGGATGGAACACAGCTCTGCTCACGGACTGACTTTAGCCCAGGTAGGCTAATCCAGGACTTTCACCCTCTAGAACTGTGAAATGAGAAACTTGAGTTATTTTAAGCCACCCAGCTTAGGGCAAATTGCTGAAGCAGCCAGGGGAAACTTGTTCAGCTCCCAGGGTCTTTGCTCTCCTGTTCATGCAGCTGTCTCCCCTCCCATCCTATTTGCTCTCTAGTGCTCTGAAGGGGAGCTGGGATTTTCCAGAATCTCTGGGAAATTCCAACCTTTCAAAGAGATGTCTTCCTGCGAGTCTCCACAAGATCTGCTTCACCCAACAGGCCAAGGCTGCCTGAAGGAAGATTCTTGGAGCAGCAGAGAAACTCCAGCCCAAACAAGGCACCTCTTCCCATGAGGCTGGCAGTTCCCCTGCTTCAGAACACACAGAGGCATCATTGGGGAGGCTCCTGCCCTGGTTTCTTGAGAGGGGAATGGGTACTGCATGACACAAGAGGCTTTTGGAAGAGCTTTGGGGAGGAGTTGTGGCACCAACTCCCAGAGATGGCAGGCTTGTCCTGCTTCTCAGCTCCCACTGGCTCCTCCTCCTCCAGGCAGGTGCACATTCTTGCTGAGCAAAGCCTTGCCTGGCTGTGCTCCAGAGATGAGGTGCTCCCTTTCCCTGATGGAATGCCAGTAACCCCACCCCAAAATACCATTGTGAAAGGCAGTGCTGGGGAGACAGGCTCTCCTCAGGGGGACTTCCCAGAGCTGGAGGACCAATCCAGGCACCACACTGTGCCCAGGATGGCCCAGGCGTCCAGCGTACCAAGTCTGAGACAACCCCTCTGTTGGCTGACCTGTGTACCTGTTCCCAAATTCATGGGTTGAACTCCCAAACCCCAATACCTCAGAAGGTGCATAATGCCTTTATAGAGATGATTAAATCAGAATAGGCCCTTAGGATGGGCTCTCAGCCAGGCTGACTGATGACCTTGGGAGAAGGGGATGAGGCACCAGGGACCAGCACGAAGGACCATATGCACGAAGAAGCAGCAAGAGAACAGCCATCAACAAGCCACAAAGACAGGTCTCAAGAGAATCCGATCTTCCGGCTCCTTCATCTTGGACTTACAGCCTCAGAACTGAGAAAATAAATGCCACCAGGCCTGTGGTATTTTGTTAGGGCAGCCTGAGCGGACTGATACACCCATCCTCTCTCAGGCTTGCCCTGGTCACTCCAAGTCCTAGCGGGACACTAGATGTCTAGTGACAATGACACACATGCAGAGACACAAGGCTCTCTAAACATATTTCCTAGGGGCCAGGCAACAGTAGTGAGACCTGAGGTTACCTAACCTGCAAATTCCCAGTTCAGAAGACAACATAAGGCCCACTGTGAGCTGGATGGGACTCCCACCCCAACTCTCACCCCACAAAGAAGCCCCAGTAACATCTGGACACTCATCTTTCATGGGCTACCTTCTGCCACCCATGCAGGCAAGACACTGAACAGCCTTCCCTGTGACTTGTCTGTACACATTGGACACCTTGGAAAGAACTGACAGCTGTGCTTGTGATGGAGGCGCACACACTCTTCAGATGCCAGTCGGGTGGGTCCATCTTTAATTATGTTAAATATTATTAATAAAAGTACAGCACAGTGGTGATTCACATAACATACCTTAAATGACTAAGACTAAAGGAGTACAGTTTAAGACAGTCTGCAGCTCTGGGGAACACAAAAGTGATATCAACACCAGGTTGTAAGAAACATTCCTTTTCACTTTGGTTTGGGGTGACAGGCCAGACAGCCACCACCTGAAGTGCCACCTATGCTATCAACAGGAGAGGGTCTTGACCCAGAGAAAGCAAAGGCAACGCATGTGACCGACCTCTAGAGAGAGGCCCTAGAGAGAAAACTGGGGCTGGATGGCATTGGTGGTACAGACTGGTGGGCCTGCATATACAAAAAGATCAGTAATAAACCAAATAATATTGGAAATAATACCTTCAGTAATACTTCTGTAAGAAGCAGAATTATACTACATGTTTTTCACATGCATAGGAGTGCATAAGAAAAATCCCTTGTAATCATGGTTGGTATGGAATAGTAAAACATGTACTGGAAATGACAAGTTAGCTGGCAGAGAAATTAATCTATAAAGGCATAGTGTCCAGAATGGAGGGAGAAGCCTTGCCAGCAACAGAACTGAAGGGAACCCACTCAGAAGATGCACAACTCCCCCACCATGCACACATGCGCACACACTCTGTATTCCGAATAAATACCCACACACACACACACACACTGAAGTGATATCTCCCCAAAGCATCCTTGTGCTCAAGCCAGATTTCTTCCCCCGGCTGCTGCTCTGAGTGTTGGCTGTGAGAGAAAGCAGGGAATTGTCTCTGCATGAGGGCATTCAGGACACATAGCTCCTTCAGTAGCAGAACCAGCCCCAGCCATGCCAGGACTGAGCTCTCTGTGCACTTTCCAGCGAGCTAAGCATCCCATCTCCAAAGGCAGAGGGACAGGGGCAGAAGGATTGGACAGTCGAGCAATTGCAGATCCTCATGCCTGCCCCCAAGCCCAGCCTGTCGTGCACACACACACACACAAGGGAGAACTGGTTATGTAGTGTTTGCACTTCCTGACACTGGTGGATGGGACCCCGACCCCAAAACACGGCTCCATAGGAAGCATCCAGTGCAAAGTTTCATCACACTCCCACCTGGGCCTGTGTGCCAAATGGGCTCAAATATTCTCTCCAGTCTTCCCTAGAGCCTTCTAAGAAATGATAGGATCTTCGGCCCACTCCATCACAAACCAAATTGCCAAGAGGCCTGGAAAGTTCCGTTAAGAATATGGCTCCTAGAGATCTCATTCCCAGTCCCAGCAATGCAAGCTTAGTCTGTGCGCCATGTTTCTGAATCGGGACATGTGTATCTTGCAGTTCCCTAGGGAGTAAGGAATTTTGATTACCCACGATGGAGTATGTGGATAACAGGTTCAGTCCAATGCTGGAGCCTGCAAGTGACCGGAATTAAAAATTTAAAGATCCTTCAGTTCTCTGGTGACCCTGTGCATGTGATGAGGACTTGAGACACCTAGATTTCCCATGAAGTGACCAATTCCTTGAGGCTTCTCTATTCGGGCATTAACAGCAAAAAATCCCCATTCCAAATACAAACTAAATTTCTTAAGAAAACATCTAAAAGAGGCCGAAAAGAAAGGGAGGGCTAGCGAGTCAAATGCAGGGATCCATTTGTTTGAAATGCATCCATTTTCTGGGTTAAATATAAATAAAGAGGGCAGAATGGGAGGAGGTGGGAGAGATGCTCTCAAACTCCTCCCCACCCCACCCCACCCCCGCCCCGGAAACAGTGAAGTGAACAGGGCTTATTTCTATGTCACTGAAGGGCTGACTTGGGAGTAAGAAAAAAAACTAAAAAGTGCCTCCATTCTCAAAGCGGCTCAGTTCTCCACCCAGATGAGGTTGGCGATCAAAACAGAGTGACTTCAAAACTGCCTATGAAGTGTAAGTTCCAGGGAGTCCTAGGGCATGACCTCTAGCGTGCTCAATCGGATCCCAGAGTTGTCAAGCCCTGTGGCAGGGCTTCCCCAGAGTCAGTGGGCAGGGCTGGGCTATGGCCTCCCAAGGCCTCCTCTCTGTGCCGGGCGCTGTGCCAGCCTGCCATCCCTGAGCTCCATCCGGGTAAAAGTGAATTCCTGCTGAAGCGCACTTTGCAACAACTCAGGTGGAGGAGCTCGGTGAGGAGTCAAGTGCTGAGCTGTGGAGCGTGGCGAGGGAAATTCTGAAATGGTTATTACTAGCAGGTGCCTGGAGAAGAGAAGAAGCCTGGGGTTCCTGGGGGAGCTCTCCACTCTGTGAGTAAATGGTTCTCCACCAAGAGAGACTTTTAAAGTCATGGCAATGACCAAGTCGGTGGGCCCAGAGTCTGCAGCAGGACGCAGCTTTCACGGTGTCCTCCATGCAAATGCCTCGTCAGCTAGGACCTGCGCCAGCCTGGCATTGAAAGGTCCATAAAAGTCCTGTAGAATCTTCTGTGTGACCGGCCACATGGGTCCTAGGTTTCGGTCCTCAGGACGTCGTGCGTTAGATGCTGGGCTCTTGGTCATCAAAGCTTCTTGCTTCTCACTTAAGGGCCCTGGAATGAAAGGAAAAGCATCCTGTCAACTGGAGGCATGGCAGGAGGTGAAAGGAACTTTGCAAAAATGCCAGCTATGCTTCATACTGAGACAGGGGTTTCTAGCTTGAAAAAGAACGTGTTTAATGCTCACCATCTCTAGCAATAAAGGAAATGCAAATTAAAACCACACTAAGATTCCACCTCACCCCTGTTAGAACAGCCATCATCAGCAACACCACCAACAACAGGTGTTGGCGAGGATGCGGGGAAAAAGGAACCCTTTTACACTGTTGGTGGGAATGTAGACTAGTACAACCACTCTGGAAAAAAATTTGGAGGCTACTTAAAAAGATGGACATCGATCTACCATTTGATCCAGCAATACCACTCTTGGGGATATACCCAAAAGACTGTTACTCCAGAGGCACCTGCACATCCATGTTTATTGCGGCACTATTTACAATAGCCAAGTTATGGAAACAGCCAAGATGTCCCAGCACTGACGAATGGATTAAGAAAATGTGGTATCTATACACAATGGAATTTTATGCAGCCATGAAGAAGAACGAAATGTTATCATTCGCTGGTAAATGGATGGAATTGGAGAACATCATTCTGAGTGAGGTTAGCCTGGCTCAAAAGACCAAAAATCGTATGTTCTCCCTCATATGTGGACATTAGATCAAGGGCAAACACAACAAGGGGATTGGACTATGAGCACATGATAAAAGCGAGAGCACACAAGGGAGGGGTGAGGATAGGTAAGACACCTAAAAAACTAGCTAGCATTTGTTGCCCTTAATGCAGAGAAACTAAAGCAGATACCTTAAAGCAACTGAGGCCAATAGGAAAAGGGGACTAGGAACTAGAGAAAAGGTTAGATTAAAGAGAATTAATCTAGAAGGTAACACCCACGCACAGGAAATCAATGTGAGTCAATGCCCTGTATAGCTATCCTTATCTCAACCAGCAAAACCCCTTGTTCCTTCCTATTATTGCTTATACTCTCTCTACAACAAAATTAGAGATAAGGGCAAAATAGTTTCTGCTGGGTATTGAGGGGGGGAGCGGGAGGGGGTGGAGTGGGTGGTAAGGGAGGGGGTGGGGGCAGGGGGGAGAAATGAACCAAGCCTTGTATGCACATATGAATAATAAAAGAAAAATGAAAAAAAAAAAAAAAAAAAAAAGAAAAAGAACGTGTTTGGGAATTCAAATTCTTTGGCTGGATCCATTAGGAGGAGCTAAGGAAGGAAGGTGGAAATTGCAGAGACGTTCTGTGACCCAGTGCGCATTCTCCACGCAGGGGGACGTTCTGCTTGGTAGGTAACGACGGTGCTACCTTCATCTGAGGCCCGCCTCGGGGTTCATCTCTAGTTGCCATGAATGGGCTGCTTTTCAGAGCCTTCAGCCTGTCTGAGAATTGGGTAAGACGGAGACCTGCTAGACACAGTCCTGGGGGTTAGTTTTTCCTGCTGGGTAGTCCTGCTGCAGTCATTCCACTTTGATCTCCTGGTAGATGTTAAGGGTTCCATCCCTGGGCCCTATTTCATCTATATGCCTTGTTATAAAGTGGCCATGGGGGAGAAGATTGGTCACCTGTGCCCAGAGACCCCACTGAGCACACCTCCACCTGCACCAAGTACATCAGTAAAGACAGGCCAGCAGAGGCCACTGCAGAGGACACAACCCTGCAGCCCAGCCCTCTAGACTGTGGGCTGCTCACTGACTTAATGATCACTGCTCAGGCCTCCTGAGATTGGGCTCTTGGAATCTCACCAAAGTCCTTAGGATAGCCCTGTGTCCTAGGGTTATGCAAGACAGAAAACTGGCTTTACTGTCCCTCTTAGAGACAAAAGCAAGCTTAATAATGTGACAGAGTGTATAGGCGGCCAAATCAAAAGACTCATTACCAGCTCTCCAAGATAAGGAGAAACGGCTAGAGGGTCCTGAGTCCTACTGGCAAGCAGATCAATTTCAACAAATATTCAATTAACAAGATCCCCAGGCAAGATCATTACACGGCTGCAAGAGGTGCTCTGGAAAGGAATGTGGCTTGCTCTGACCTTTCCAGCTGTCCTTGGGTGACCTGTGCGTATGGACAGCACTGCCCACCTTACATACACCTCTGCCAGCGAGCACCATGACCAGTGACATGACCTTGTCACGGTGCCCCCTTGGGACTTGGAACTACTATCTTAGGGTCAGGGCAACTCTTCATCCTCACGCCTGTCGCCCTGAGATGATGCAATGACCAGTTCCCCCTCCGCACCCCATGCCTCTGCGGACGGTTCCGGGCCTCCACCGTCACCGTGTGGCTCAAACCACAGTCCCTGTCCTTCCATGAAGCCTCCATGATACTTCAAGGAGTGGGGGCTCCTACTGTGACAGTGCTACCCTTCCTCCATGTCATACTACTGTCAATCAGTGAGTTCAGCTATGGCCTCCTCCTCTCCCTCTACTAACCTAAAGATCCCAGATGGGAGGCAACCTTCTCCTCTCCAGAGCACCCCTCATCACAAGGTACCCAATGACCCATGGGCAGCTGATGCTTCATAAATAGGTACTAAACCTGCCTGTTTTGGGGAGTCACTGGGCCTCCCAGCAGCCTGTCCTTACCCAGCTTACCTCACCTGTACTTGACCCAGAGGGCGCCTAAAGAGTCATGGTCCCCTGGGACTCACACTGTGCCCCATCAGTTGGAAGCACAACACATACCCAGGTTCAGGAACTGGAAGACCCTGTGCATGGTGTACTTGACATTGGATGCGTGGTCTTCTAGGCGCAGAATGAGAAACTGTTCCTTGCTGAAAACAGTGAGCCAGTCCAAAAGGTACACAGCATACAGCCCAACCTGGAGCCTCACCTGGGACACAGGAGGATAGCATTATTGCAGGAAGCCCTTTTCCAAAAGCATTGCGGCATTCCGCATTCCCCCTGCAGAAGAGCGATCCCAGCAAACAAGCACCCCGGAAGTACAAGAACACATGTGCTCTGGCGCCTTCAAAAGGAGTTTTGTGCTACGTAGGCAAAAACTGTCTACACATTTAATGCCTATTAAATGATTGCATTTAATCCTCACAGCAGTCCCTTGGGTAGCATTACACCTCTAAGTCACAGGTGAGGGCTGAGGTGCCGAAAAGAGGTCAGGGCTGCAAAACCAAGGGTGTCCGTGATCTTTGCATGGCATGTGGCTATTTCCCTGCTTCTGATGCAATCCCCACTCCCAAGAGACAACAAGCTGTGAAAAATCAACCACGGGTACCTCAAAGACACCCCATGTTCTACAGGAACATCTGTGACCCCTCAGTGAGAGTGTGGGCACATCTGAATAAAAGTGGCCTGGTGCTAAGTCCTTCCACCTTCTCACCTTCTCAGTTCCTGGGTCCTCATCCTGCTCCTTCCCTTGTGCCTAACTGTAAACTAGGTAGGAAAGAAAGAACCTGCCTAAGGAGAGCTGTGGCCTTTACTCTTTGCTCCTGGAAGGGCATTGCTAGATCCCTGGAATATGCTGCCCCAGAGGAGTATCTGGATTTGCCTGGGGTTTTGCCCTGGACAAGCTAAACTGCGACTTACGGCAGGGTTCTGGGCCACATGGTAAGTGTCAGCTCTGATCTCTAGAGGGTTTGGAGACTAACGGCCAATCATGAGGCAGTATGTGACTAAGCCCCAATAAGAACTCTAAACACCAAGACTTGGGGTGGCTACACTCCTGAGTGTGGTCATGTGTCCATCATGCCTGGGATCTGCTAGCACAACTCCATGAGGAGTGGGGAACTGACTGGGGGCTCTGTATTGGAGTCCACCTCTCCCCAGACCCTTCCCTGTGTACTTCTTCCCTTGGTCGATATCCATCTGTATTCTTTCCCTGTCATGAATCCTAACCACAGGTGCAACAGCCTTCCAAGTGTCCTGCAAGCCCTTCTAGAACTTCATTGAACTTAAGAGTGGTTTGGGAACTCCCCTCTAGAACTTGTAGTTGGTGTCAGAAGCAAGAACAGCCAGGGAAGTCTTACTCCTATCTACCACCTCTCTGTTTACGCCCCCTCCCTTCATCCACTCCCATCAACACCTGCAGGACCCACACTCTTCCCCTCTCTCGTCTCTGTCCTTCTATCCCAAGACTGTCACCAACATGTGCCTTGCAAAGCAATGAGCTGGCATGGCCAGCCTCTGCACAGACCTCTAGGGCTCTCCACACAGAAAATTCTTGGTCTGCTGAAACTTCCAGCCCATCCCTCCCATGGGGAGTGCCCACCAGCCACGGGGCTCCTCCTTGTAGCCCCCATCTCTTGAGGCAGACAGACACACTTCCTTCCTTCCCAGCTTGATCTTATGCTTCCTGAGAGCAGGGACGGTGGCTTCACCATCAAGCCACCGTGCATAGAGCCTGCGCCAGTGCTCAGTATGATTTTCAATGGAGTTGCTGAACATGGTACTAGCAGCATGAAGAAACATCTGATAAGATGTGTGCAGACACTAACCAGTTTCACTTCTCAGTATTCTTTTTCCATTTCATTGTTTTTCTAAGCTCATAGGAAGATGGGGAAGGAGAAGAACAATTAGAGGGAATAGGTAAATTGCCTCCAATATTCATTAGCTGCTTCCAACCCACACTTTGTTGCTATCTTCTACAGCAGCTCGCAATAAAAAACATCAAGCTGAGCCCAGGCTACAGAAAAAATGAATGCATGCAGTCTTGGAAACAAGTGCATATGTTGCCCCCAGCACAGAGAATAGGGATGAAGTTGTCCTGTGGTTAGATCATGGGCCTCACAGGGTTCCTCACTTCTCTCCCAGATCGGCTCAAAGGCTGCCCCTCAAAGGAAAGTCTAGTCCCACTAGGTTCATCTCTACCCAAGAACCTGCCTTCGCAACTTGAGAACTTTCCAGAGGGAAAGGGGCTAAGTGCTGGTGGGAGGATATTGGGGTTTTAGAGCAGCTGAAGCTGCATCTGCACCTGCCCTGTGACAGAACACTCTCTGCAACCTAGTTTGTGTTCATCTTGGTGGGAGCTGCTTCATCAGGATGTCTCCAGCATACACAGAAGTGGAGAGTATCGCATGCCTGCCAATGAACTTCCTGCCGGTTCTCATGTTCAGGGCTGAAGTGCAAACAGGAAGCAGGGACAGGGCACGCCCTCTCCTAGCTGTGGGAGCAAGTGGCTGCGGAAATCCTGTCTCCAGAAAACCTATTTACAGACAAGTGGAAGTGCATGCAGCTTGCTTGGCCCTTAAGCACTGCCCGTCACAAGAGAAGGTGCTTGGGGGACTCCAGGTGACATGAAGTGCCACAGCATACAGACTCAGTTATATCACTCACCCCTCTGTGCAGGGAAGCACAATTCACAGCTATTAAACCCAACCACCTGGGCAGGGCATCTGCCCTGCCTCTCCCTCCCCAACACACACACACAACCTTCTCCATTCTCACCCTCCCTAGAGAAAAAGGGGAGTGTGAGTTTCTGAGTCATGCTGGGCTGGTGAGTGATCACAGTCCTGTGACTGTCCCCCATGCTGTGATTTCCCCTTTCACGTTATTAAGTCTGTATGCCTTTGTTCTATCTAATCTGCCTACACTCAGATCACCCCCAGTGAACCTTCATAGGGTGAAGGGGACATTTTCCTTTGCCCCCACACTATCTTGTGCTTAAAACCCTCTCATGGGGTCCTGTCTCTGTCTGGACAACCTCCACGGCTCACCAGTTTCTTGGTGATGCAGCCCTGTACCCTGTCCCTAAGTTGTTTCACTCACATCTGCCCTCGCTGTGCTCCCTGGTGGCTTTCCATCTGCCTCCGGCCTGTGCATAGGCTGCTCTCTGCACAGGGACACTATCACCTTTCTGGTTCTGGTTCTAGTCAATGCATCCTTGGCACACTCATTCCCTCTCCTAGGTGGTCTCCTGCCTCATGCTCTTCTTCAGAGGTCTCTGTTAGGGGCCAGAGCTCTCTTTTTCAGCCTCTGTGCACTCTCCCCTCTAAGCTCTGCTGGAGGCCAGGGACCAACCTGTGCTGTCCCTGCTGCAGCCCCAGGGCCCAGCACCATGCTGGGTGAAAGAACAACTAATCTCTAACTCACAACAGTCTGGCAAAGCAGTGTGAAGCAACTGAATCTCAGACAGGCTAAGACAACTGTGTGGAGTTACACAGCCAGTAAATGCCAGAGCAAAGAAGTGAACCCACGCCACTACCTGCCTCTGAAGCCTGATCCTGCCTCTTGGTGATGCAGTAATCTTGTCCCTGGCACATCTTCCTTGCCAAACTACAAAGCCTTTGGCAGGCAAGCAGCATTAAATCCTACTAACTACCCCTGCACCTTGCCTTCAGATAAAATGGCCTGGGTAACCCCTCCCTCTAACCCCATCATGTTGGGGACTGCCTCCACAGCAGCCACTTTAATGCCTCACATGTGACACAGGCAAACGTGGGACAGGTGGTAGCACTGGCCTCACCGCAGAAAGCTACTTACTGCACCATCCCTGCTGAAGCTCTTAGAACCCAGTTCACCCTCAGCTACAGGTGCTGGATTCACCCTCAACAACTGTTTTTAAGAAAGCCTGGAAATTTACAGATATGTTCCCTAGGCAGAGAGATCAACCAACGGTTTTCAATAGAGACACCAAGCATTTGAAGTCACTGGTGGGTAGTTTTTAGAAGCAGCAGAACAATCCACACTGCAGAGACGCTCTTAAGACAATTTGAGGCTGGCTGTCCTCCTGTCTGTTGTCTCTACTTGCAGGGTGTGCTTTGGAGCTTTGCTGAATGCTAATCTTCCTAAATGCACCCTGGATCGCTCACAGAGGAAGAGACACAAGACACACAGTGGCTGGTGATCAGCAGGGAGCCGGCTGGAAGGACCCATCAGCTTTCACAGTTCTTACAGCCCAGAATATCTGTTTCTACATTAGACACCACTCAAAGGCGGCTGAGCGGCATTTGCACGTTAAAATGCTTCCCTCTGTGTTTCTGTGCTCCTCAATGCCCCCCTGCACATAATAACAGCAAAGCAGCCCCATTCTGCATGGGGCTTGTTGAATACGCACAGGCATGGCATTGTTGAGGGTGTTGTTGTAGACGCAAGCACGCAGTGAATAATCCAGCATGCAATTTTCAAACAGCTGCAGAGCCTCCGTCACTTTTTCGTGGAAGTCATCTGCAGATTTATTTGAACTTGCAAAGTAGAGATAGTCTGAGTACAACCTGTGAATAAAATAAATGGGTAATTTCACCATCCGAGAATGTGAAATCACGCCACTTGAGTGACAATGAAAATCAATGTGCAATACATTATCTAGTTTTGTTCATTAAAATGCAACCATTCCTCTTCCTTCCCTGGCAGACAAGCCCCCTCCCCACTTCCCTTCTTGGTCCTGCCCTTCCCACTCAGACATGTCTACACTGGCCCCCCCAAAAAAACCCACCAGCACTGGGGTTTTTTTGTTTTTTATTTTTAAAAAATTATTTTAGTCATCTCAGGTCAACTGTGTTTCCACAACATCAGATTTAAAATCATACAAGAGCAAAGAGAAGCCATGAAAATTTTATGCACCTTCTCATTCCTTTCTCCTCTTGGAGAGAACACAGAGCATCTGTTGCTCTGACAGCATCACAATCCTCTATGAAATTCCTGCTTTTCCTATAGATGTTCCTTACATTGAAAACAATATTCAATGTATCTTGATTCACAGGGACCTATTTTTCAATTCAATGTCAGAGCACCCACAGAAATGCAGGTGAACGCCTGCACATGCAGGTGGAGTCTGTGGTCATCCACAGACTCAGATCTGTTCTCACAGACACCACCCTGAGCAGATAATAAGCTTTTCCACTGGAGCTGATGGTCTTCCTTAACTTTCAGCAGCCATATCTGTCTTTGCATCATCCCATTTTAGCAAGACTCTGCTGTTAAAGAAACATTGGTTTAGACTGAGTATCTGCACTAGGCCCAACAGACCAGATCAAACCAGAATGGATTCTCTCCCCTAGGCTCCTAGCAATCAAACTGAACTTGAAAAGGGGCTAGTTTTAGCTGGGGATGTAGCTCAGTGAGTGCCTGGGAGGCTCAAGACTGGGGGTTTAATGACGAGGAGGAGAAGGTGGAAGAGGAAGAGGAGAAGAAAAAGGCTGTTTGCATATCATAGGCAATTCACAGCAGCAAATCAACCAGGGGACCAGTCAACCTGAGCCAGCAAGATAAGGAAGTTCCCTCTGCTTGTAATCCATACAAGGAAAGTAACTTTGAAACAACCAATCTACTTCTTGTTCTTGGTTTTTGTTTCTTCAACACTCTTGCACCTCTAATACCTACCCCTCTACTCAGCTCATCAGACCACCTGCTACAAGAATAACCGTCTGCCCCATTCATGAATCCCTCTCACAAAAGCCAATTAGATCCTTAAACTAAAGCTGTCAAAATTTTGGTTTTAGACACTGCTCAACCAGAATCCCCCACCTTCTAAATCTGATCTGTTCCAGTACCTCATGAACCAGATGTCTGGTCACCTGGCCTGCCTTCAGCAAGAACCCTGTTAGGCTGGTTTAGCCAGAATCTCCCTCACTCTTAAAATTTCCTTAGTTAAAGTTCTACTCTCCCCCCAACCCTGTCTTTAGCTGTAAAATCTCTACTTTTTGTATTCTGAGCTAAACCCAATCTCTCTCCTCTAAGGCAAAACCCTACCACACCAGTCCCTACACTACAGCAACAACCCCTCATAACATTTTAGCAGATGTCAGAATAATTTCTTCATTCACAGAACTTGTGGGTTGTTAGTTTCCTACACTTTATTTCTCCTCTGTTCCTGCTTGCAGAGAAGGTAAGAAATCCCTCTTTTTGACTTTCAAGAATCACCCTCTTTTTTTCAGATGTTTCTTCCTCCCCTTTCTTGCACACACCCCCTAATGCCCACAGCTCTGAGTGACACCCTTAATGCACACACAAGCCCTAGCGGCACCTCCTGCCAAGGGTGAGGCTCAGCTAGAATCACATGTAGCCACGGCTTTATGGAGACATGCTCCTCTCTCCACTCAGCTCTGTTCTTTCTGTTCCCCAACATCTCCAGCTTGGTTCCCGCTTTCCAGTGAAGACAGTTTTGTGAATCTCACCACACACCATGCACCACAGTTGTACATCTGCAATGACAATTGCACTGTGTGCATCTGTCCCTAGCTCAGACATGTGCTCCCTGCAGAAGCCTTGTCCCCTAGCTGGGTCTGTTCCAGGGCTCCTTCTCCACCACTGTCACTTTCAGTGACATGAGATTACCCCACAGGTCACTTCTTAGAAACACCAACAGATCTTATTCACCTCTTAATCCCCCATCCAGTACAATGTCTTTGGGACTACCCTTGAGAATTCATCTTTGGCCAAGGTCCACAAAGGACACCCCTTGGACATCTTGGGTGTTTGCGAATTGCCCTCAGATTTTCTAGAATCCAAACACACAAGAATAGACTGTCTTGCCAATTTTAGCCTGGCCAAGCAAACCTCCCAAAAGATTTGCCTCAAGACACATCACTGAAGATGTTCAGGTACCAGTGGGTAGAACAGCACCCAGATCCAGACTCAGGTGAATCCACTCACCATGATATCAGCTTATTTCCAGTGCCCCTGACATCAGCTGTGCTACTCTGTTTCTTCAAAACCAGGACATACACCAAGACTGAAACACAGCACCTGCCACCAAAGGCCAACTATAGCTAGGAGAACCAAAGGCTGGCTGATAAATGCCAAAGTCAGATTTGCACAGATCTCGTTGTGCAGATTGGCTGTGCACTGAGGAATCCCATGTGCAATCTGTCTGACCAGGTGCCCTTCCTGGCTCACATATTTCCTATCAGTCCCATCAATAGGTCAGCTAGGCCTGAGAAACCACGTCAGTGAAAATTAACAGATGCTTCTGAATCTGTTGCCAAAATCTACACGGAATAAGTTCAAGACAGAGTTCTTACCAAGTATGCCCACAGGACTAGCCAAATTGTTTGATGGAACTAGATTTCTATCACATAAATTCCATAGAAAACCCCAGTGACTGGCCCAAGGTTTCCATACTGAGATTTTTCCCTGAGGTAATAACATTTCTTATGGACATTTGGCTCATAAATAAAACAAGCATACCTAAGCCTGTCTCAATTTTAGATATGAAATAACTTCATGGAAAAGTTTGCTGATTCCATGCAATTCTTCAGAGATCAAAAGTAATCCCCGGGGGGAAAATGGTACAAGTCCAGTGTTTCAGTATACCAACTGCACAGTATCCTCGTGAGACTGGCTTTTCAGGGTAAGGAGAACCTCTAGGTTTTTGGAGCTGTCCTGCTTCAGTCCTCCACACTCTGCTTTGTCAGCAGACATCCAAGTAGGGACTTGATTCTCTTTACAAATGGCCACCACCTCCCATGTGGACTCTGTAGTTGGTTAATAGTGGACCCCTCAAAAAATATAACCAAGTCCTAATCCCAGTTCCTATGAATGTAATCTTATTTGAAGACAGGAAATCTTTGCGCATGTACTTAATGTTGAAGACATTCAGATGAGATCATCTCACTTCATCTCATTAGGATGAGTCCTAAACCCAGTGACTGGTATCCTTATTGAAAGAGGAGAGACCAAGGCATCACAAGAATGCTGTCAATAAACAGCACTGAGATGTTTCCTGAGACTCCAGGAAAGGAGTCACTTAACAACCTTGGATGACAAAGCCACTTGGATGGATTAAAGCCACTCAAAATATTGATGACGGTGAGTGTATGAGAATGTATCTAATAGACCTCAAAGAGCCAGAGTAGGCACACGCATTTAACAAGCTAAAATGTAAAGAGAAAGACCTAGACACCCACATTTCAGTCTTTAAAATCAACTGCACAATGATGAAGTAGGGAAAGAGACCAACATGGAAAACACATAAGTGGTTTGGCTGACAACAGTCTTGTAATCATAACAGAGCTGCAGTGACACTGATGCCACCTCAGGATGCATAACAGACTCGGCACCAAGAATGTGGGAGGATGGAGCAAAACAGCAAGCAAGTCTTGACCCAAGAGGACACCTGCCTTTGGCGCTGGGTGACAAATAGTTGAGAAGGAGTGGCTCCCCCAGGGGAAGCAAAGACTCAGTGAGAAGGACAGCTCCACAGACTCCTGAGGGAATGCCCAGCGGGTGGAATGTTCAGGAAGAAAGACCCACTTCCAACAGGTAAAATCCCTCCAGTGGGGACAGCAGATTCCAGAGGCTGGAACCCCTGGGTTGGTGTGAGAGTCAGGGGACCTGAGTCTCCCACCCCCAGTCCTGAGTTCTGTAACTGCCCATCTCCCTCCTTATAATTCACCTCATTTTCTTACTCTGAAACCATCCTGAACAGACGGGTGTTACATTTGGCCAGCAGTGTTTCCAATGGCAATTCCAAATATAAGCCCAAATACATTCCAGGCCTTCTGTGCTGCGGTTATTTTAGAAGGCTGCTAGTGCGGCCTTGCAACGCTAGGCCTGTGTTCACGCCAGTACTGCTTTGCCCTGTCCCTGTCAAGTGCAAGGTTCTGGGACTCCAGGAGGGACAGTGGAGGGGGTGTGTGTTTTGGGGAGAAGGAGGCTCCCTCTGAAAGTGACATCTCTTCTTATATGGACAAAGGAGTAGCTGTCAGTGAGCCCTAAGGCCCTCCACCCCTAATAAAACCCCAAGGCCACTGTTGAACTCACTCAGTGACATTTAAGGAGCCTTGCTCTGAGTTAACATAAGCGGAGGTCAGTCTACTGCTGAATGTTAAAGCAGGATCTGGGGATGGGGGGTGTGGCTCAGGGGTATAGCTCTTGTCCTCTGAGCAAGAGGGCAGAACTGGGATGGGGAGAGTTACAGGTTGTCAGGCTCCAGGCAAATAACTCCAGTTTGGCAGCTATAATCCCCTCTGTTCCCAACCTCATGTGGACCAGTGGACCTGCTGTGCTTCTTCCACCTGCTGTGGACTGTGTGCTTCTTCTTGTTCCATCCTTAAAGCCACCCATGAGATACACCCATCTTGTCTTACAGAGGATACTGCCATTTAAAGAGGTTTGGGAGCTCACTCCCAGTCATAAGACCCAGGAACAAATCCAAGTCTAGCTGACCCCAAAGTCCATTGACCCATGGGTCTGCCCCTGCCTTCAGAGTTTAGGGAAAGAGACGAATCAATGGCTGACTAGAGCCTATGGCTTTGGGGTTTTGTTTGATGTT